AGTGTTCCTCCCTGGGAGTCTCGCCATAGCTGGTGTTCTTGGTCAGGTTAACGCCCTCCTATCGTCAGGTGTATCCTATTAATTACCAACCCTTTTTAAACTCTCAATATTATTTTATCAACACTTCTATACCCTCAATAATTTATATATACATGTACCGATAAAATTCTTAGCATTACCAAAGAAACACTAACGTTTTAATATATATTCTCATTATCTGTAAACTTTGAGTATTTTTATAACCATTCAGTATTGTTGTAGATAATAATATAACTATTCCCTTCAGATGATCACTGGGTATATATATTAGTCAAATTCTTCAAACTTCTCGGCAAATTCCTATACCATCTCTCACACTCTTAAGTAATTCTCAATGTTTCTAGGAATTACTTTACCTTTCTCGGGTAAACTTTCTCAACTTACACCTGACGACAAGATAAGTAATTAAAATATTTGTTATATGTTTACAATAGTTATATTTATCTTTTTATCTTCTTTTCTATTTTTTTTAATTAGGAATAAATATGTCTGTTCTTACTTGTGCCTACTTCGTTGACCTTTTAATTTCTATGTTAAGAGGAACGTAAGATTATTTTTTTTAAGGGGAAGAAAATCAAACACAGGAAAATAAACTACACATAATTTTTATTCCTGAAAAGCTACAGGTGATGGTCGACTAAGGTGTAGTACAAGACGTCTGGGACTACTACACCTGTGTCTTGTAGAAGCTTCCCACTCTACACGAACTCACGGCCACGTTCTGAAAGGTACTCACGTACAGTACACTTCGGAGATGCACAACTGGAATGAACACTTTCTGAGATGTACACAACATTTTCACAACCTCGTGTTTACACTCTCAAAAGTACCCATGTACACTTCTGTGATGTACAAATTCTGAGATGTACACAATCTTAAAAGTTCTTTATGTGAGTTTCCCATCGTAAAGAAATTGTGAGAAAGTCTCTACCTGGCTCACAGTTAAGCTGTGTCGCAAAAATAACACTTAAAATGGCGCCCACTTTGCGCTGAGACTGTCGTAACCTGATCTAACTGGCTGAATTAAGAAAAGAAACCGCGAAAATATAATTCAAAATGGCATCCATATTACGCTGAGACTCAACAATTGAGGGAAGAAATTGATGTAGGAGTCTGTAAAGAATCTGAGACGCTATTATGATTTCTATTGAAGGAGGCGAGAAGAGTTAATTTACAAATGAGGTTCACCTTCACTGAATATGGGCTTATAGTTCCATGTTCAAATAATTTTTCGTAAGTTTATGCCAATGGAAAGTGACACATTATTTAATTTTAACGATAATAAGCCTCCGACTCACCTAAAGGAAGTTCCCAGTTTCTTCTAAATAATTTTATGGTTTATCATTTTTTTTCACGAAGGAGAAACTTAAATAATAGAGCAAAAACAACAACTCGTAATATTTTCTGTAGTATTTTGTCTTTCTGTTGTTGTTGTTTTTTTTTGTATTTTTTGGCGTCGGGAAATAAACAAGTTAAGTCCGAACTAAGTTTCTAAATCGAATCTTAATTTACTTAAGGTAATCTGTAAAACTTTTGGACCCAATTTAAGTCATCTTAGCTCAGTAATATAAGTTGTGGCAGATTACTGTTAACTCAATCAGGAGCTGGAGGGTCTTGGGAACTCTTGTGAAGTTCGAAATGTTTGTTGAAATCATCCACAGTAATTGACAAACGTCTTCTCTGATGTTAAGGTTCTGGTTCGCGGTATTAAGTCATATCAGTGCTTACAAGGTGGTGTGTGTGTGTGTGTGTGTGTGTGTGTGTGTGTGTGTGTGTGTGTGTGTGCAAACAACACTTTTATTGCGTGTCTGTGGGTCTAAACACCAGTACATGTTTACTTAAACACATACAAAAAAATTCACAAGTTTTGAAGACATACGTGTACCTGTGTCATCAACTGAACACATACATTACGTTGGTCCTTATATCCGTGGGCAAGATTCTCAGATCCTCGTAAGTTAATTTTTCCTCCAACTATAATATTAACACATGTAATTACGGTGTTCTTTTTTTTTCACTACAATTTTAACGATATTTTTTTCTTTCTTCTTTTAATGCGGTTAAATTAAGTGAGCCAGATAGAAGCGTTCCCACACCTCCGTCAGATCTGGCACTACGGGTCGTGTGTTGAAGGGCCATCATAGTAAGACGGTGTAAATGGTTCAGTAGGTTCAAGGTTTTATATCTCGGGGGTTTTGTCTAGGTTCAGGGCCATACAAGAGGGTTCTCGTTAATGACTGTAAGTGAGGTTGTTCCCCCCATAAACCATACTGGCAGGATATAAAAGGGGCTGTTACTGAAGACCTCAACCCTTTTAACTCTGAGTTCCAAATCCCTTTAACTCTTTCCCGCCATTGTTTTGTGACCTTTGGTTTTTTTTTCATACCGAGGTTCATCCTTTATTAACAGCGGCAGCACGAGCAGTTGAACGCCAGCAAGAGCAATCCAAAGCCACTCTTTACCTGTTACCCTCCCTGCTGACTGTGTCTGGGTCAGCCACACAGGTGATGGCGGCTTTATATTATGTCATGGTCGCATGTTAATGGTGGGAGTAATTACATCGTTTGACAAAAAGGAAACATCCCATTATACTGGGCGAACTGACCTGTTGGGTGAGCACACAACACTCTCTCGTCAGTCTTTACCAATTAACTAACGTAATTTTCATTAACCTGTTTATTCGATTCGTTTATGTTTGTTTCACTGAACTCTAAGATAGTCCACAACATCATGGTATACAGTCAGACCTTCACTGTTGAACAATATGACAAACTGGCGACAATGTTCGTACACAGTTCCCGCGTCAGTGGTGGTCCTGCTGTCCTTATAGGGGAATATGTGACACTACAGGAGTTGCTGCCACGTGTCATAATGCAATTTTCTTTTCAATATAATCCTAGAAATGATTCAGTTTATTGTAACTCTAATAATACAAATCCATGTTTGCTATCTTTTAAAATTTGAATTTGTCCTTTTTTGAAGGACAGGGTAAAGGAAATGACTTCGCAATCACGTTTACCAACCCTATCGAGGCGACGCGACGGGAGAGTTAGTGTTAATTTTGATATCCGTCACACCCACCTCGGGGTAAACTAATTTATGGTCTGACTGTACACCTAAAAACACTAATAGCTGAGCGCTGATCATACAACACCTGATAAGTCTTTTACAACTGAGTCGAGTGTATTTTTTCCAGCTCGCCCGTACTGCAGGAGAGGTCACACCCCAGCCAAGAACACGTCTTTATCGGTGAGTAATGTTTAATTATTGTTTCAAATTTTTATAAGTAATATTTTAGTGACCTCTGACCGAATTTAATTTATTGTTGAAATGTAGCATATTTTACACAATTTGTATTTATTAATTAAATTTTCGTACGTTTTTGTATTTATATAACTATTTCATGCGTGTACGGTATTAGAATTTGTTACTGTGTTTTTTTTTATGTTTTAAACCAATGGAGGAGTTTTAAAACTTTGAACATTATGTAGTTAGTCGTCTGGGAGGACCATAGTTGATTCTGTGAGATAAATAGTTTTTATAATACAGTGGGCGTCCTTAGGTAAGGTCAGAGTGGAGTCATACCTGTGACAGTCTTGACCCCGACACACTCACCTGCCACACACCTGTACCTTCACCTGCACTGTGAACTATTGACAACTTATCTGCGTATATCATACATATATTTTCATACTTTTTATTATAAATCTTGATTACAATAAAATAGCGCATCTTTACCTCCATAAATACACAACCCCTTAAACCAGGGCCCATTAAAAGCCATTTACGTCTTACCAATGGCCTACCAACCTCCCTTATCTAATGCAGTACAGGAGTGTCCGTCCCGTTCACTTTCCTCCATATACATTACCCTGTTTATTGTCCGCATGTCTCGTATCAATATTCTACAAACATAATCTACAGCTTCTTGATACAACTCGTGTAGTAACAGTAGTCCCAGACGTGGGGTAGGGGGGGGGAGACATCACTTGGAACACTCTTATGTAAGTTATAAGTGTGTGTGTGTCTTGGACTCTACTTAAACGTATTACAAAACACAACACAGACTCAAGGCGCCGACACAAGGCGCCAGAATTGGTTTACCTTATTAATATATACACCTTCTTCCTCCTCCATATATACAGGTTACATAAAGATACATTTGTTTGGGTTAGAAATAATAATGTGAGAGAAAGAGAGCTAGAGAAGAGGGTCGGCAGGGATCATTCACACCATACTGGCAGTCATTCCGGGTCACTGTAACTTTCTATGCCGGAATTGTAATCTTAATTTGTGAGGTGTAGGCGGCTGGTGATGGTGCGCCTGGCCTTGGTGCGTCTGGCGTAGGTTTTTTTTTCAGGTAAGTAATTTTTTTTTTTGGGGGGGGGAGGGAAATAATATTAATATAATCTCTCATCCTTTCGTCATTTGATGTCATCTACTGACCTGTGACTGGGTTCATTACCTCGATGAGTGCGCCGCTCACCTGCCCTCACCTGTTGTGACGCACCTGACCACCTCACTACCGCACCACGAAGAAGAATAACATTATTTATTATTAATTTGTTTTATGACTAACAACTTTATGGCTCCCATCCTCACCTAAGTCGCAATTCCCATACACTACCATAACCAACTCCCATCCTCGTCCACCAGGGTCTTACACTGAGTACGAGTCCACCATGGAGTAACTCCTTGACAACCACTCACACACTCACAGCCACACTCGCACTCTGAAGCACCATTTGACAGACGAGCTCCTGGTAGACACCATTGACTGAACTCATTATGTAGAACAAGAAGCTGCCAGGTTAAGTTCTGTCACGTGTTCTCTCAAGAGTCGTAGTAGAACAAAATAAGAACACAGAACAGAGAACAGATCTGGGAATTACAGGAATGGAACAACACAATCTGGTCTCTCATTATTTCTTGAGACACAATTATTTTCTTTGCTTCTTGGAGTCCAAATTTAAACTTCCACACTTAAATGTTTGTGTATCACCTCACGTGTGACGCTGCCTCATGAGTCCCTCAAACACTGGCTCGTGGCAGGAGTCCCAACAGTGTAGTCCAGAGTTGGTACATCATGCAGGGCAGTGTCACCACCCTTGTTTATATACTTAACATCTTCCTCCGCTGTTTATGTTATTGTATACACTCATGGTTTACAGCACTATTGTACGTTCACACTTTGACACTTTATAATCTTGGTCTGCGACACCAATATTTGGCACAAGAGCATCTAGGTAGGACCTCCTCCCTCACTGCCCTGCTCACGTCTTAGCTCTGTATATGATGAGTCCTTCTTATGTATAGAGAAGAGTGAAGCTAAGTCGTGTTAACGTGTCAGACGATCCCAGGAGACGACGCTAAGGTAGTCTGAGATACTAACGTCCTCAAGGTCTGTCTTACTGGGTTGAAGTGGGTTGAGTGGGGTTCAATAGGACTCAAACAATCCCAAGTCTAGTTGAGTGGAGTGGAATGCAGATGACTGCGTAGTCTAGTTGCGTGGTTTGGAAGTGGAGTGAATGGCTTTGGTGGGATTCAGCAGAGCTGCGGGCAGGTTGAGTGGGAGTGGACTCAGACGAGGGTGGAGGTCTTGACGAGGCTCTCCAGGTGCTCCTTGGCCCGCAGTCTGAGGGCCACAATGGAGGAGGAGCGAAGGTCATCCTCGGGTGCCAAGGAAGGAGAGGCGCGGTCCTGCAAGGGCGTAGACAGGGGCGGGGACATTGGGAGCGGGGGCGTGGTAAAGGCAGGTGGAGCCGTCGACGTGGTGATGGAAGGTGGCGGCGGACCCACGCCCATTGCGGAAGAGGTGGGCGGGGTGAGGTAAGACGGGTAGGTGGCGTGGTGGTGGGTGAGGAATCCAGGGAGGGAGGGCACGCTGGTGAGGCCGCCGTGGATGGAGGGCATGGAGCTCTGGAGGCTGGGTAGGCCGGGCAGGCCGGGCAGCAGGGGCGGGAAGAAGTGGTCGAGGGGGCCGGGGTGGCCGGAGGGGCGGTGCAGCAGACCCATCGACTGCTCGTGCAGCCGCAGCTGTGCTTGCTCCATCTTTTCCTGGCGACGCCACTTCGCACGACGGTTCTGGAACCACACCTGAGGAGACAATACAGTGTTAGAGAACCACATTCACTGAACCACCAGCCAAGTTGAACCATTTTTTATTGTGTAAGGTTGTAAACATTTGTATCCTGACACACAAGAATGTTATAAGAATAAAAATTCTTCCTCACTGAACAAGTGAGCCAAAAGTAACAGGTTGACTACAGAGTAAATCATTAGTAATGGTCATCCCAGACTCCAGACAGACACTCGTGTGACATAATCATCACAACCGACACAACATATAGCAGATACCAGGAATGTCGGTCACACACACACACACACACACACACACACACACACACACACACACACACACACGTAGTTGGACACAGAACTAAAGAATTAGTCAGAACAACACAAATGTAAACTGAATTCTATATATTTGTATTTTATTTTCAAACATAACACCGGTAACACCTGTTGACTGTAGAGAGAATTACATTAACAGGTACGAAGTGCTAACTGTTCCACACTCTCTCTCACACCCACCCCAGAGAGAGAGAGAGAGAGAGAGAGAGAGAGAGAGAGAGAGAGTTAACACACTCATACACGTGGCCGTTGCTAAAACGCCCTCGCACAGCTATAACAAGGCACCGCAGCTTACATCCCACATACTGCACGAAAATATAAACCCCCACAGTTAACACACTCAAGCAGCAGACGACCACAGCTAAATTCTGCCCTTCCTCCTCTCAACAGAAAGCTACAGCTAAATCCCTTCTTCACCATAGGAAATCACACACAACATCCCTCTCCTCCTCACAGCAAACCTCCCCTCACAGGAGGTTAGGAGGTTGGTGAAGGAGGCGTGGCTGAAGAGGCATGGCAGGAGGAGGTGGTCTAACGAGGAGTGGAAGGAGGAGGAAGTAGTGACAAGGAGGCGTGGCAAGAAGAGGAGGAGGAGGAGGTGGTATAAGGAGGTGTGGCAGGGGGAGGAGGTAGGGAGGCAGGTAAGGGAGTCGACGCCACGGATCACCTCGCTGAATTAAGACTGTCTTGTGGGTCGTCAAGTTATCGTATGGTCATGTCGGAGTGATGACGGAGGCAGGAAGAGAGGGGGAAGGGTGGGAGAGAGGGAAAGAAGAAGGGGGGGCAGGGAAGGGAGAGGGGGCGGAGAGAGGGAAAGAAGAAGGGAGGGAGCGAAGGAAGAAGGGAGAGGGGGCGGAGAGAGGGAAGAAGGAGAGAGGGGGGGAAGGGAGGAGGCAAATGCTGTTTGTGCGTGGTAAATGGCTGAGGATCCTCTCGTGAGAACCACAACACTCGCGTCCCCCCTCCTCCTCCTCCTCCTCCTCCTCCTCCTTCTCCTCTCATTTCCCTTCTTATCCTCATCTTCCTCTCAACTCCTCTCATTTCATTTTTCCTCCTCTCCCTTGCCATTCCCGCCTTCCCTGTGTTTTCTCTCTCTTCCTCTCCCCCCTCCTCTTCCCCCTTCCCCCTCCCCCCTCCCCCCTCCCCATCTCTGCACACATCTAACAGATCTACAACAGTCGTCCCGGTTCACCACATTACTTCCTCATTCTGTTTTCCAGGTGTGATGGGAGAAGGAGGAGGGTGGGTGATGGGAGAAGGGGAGTGAGGAGGTGAGGTGATGGGAGGGGGGTGAGGAGGTGGGGGATGGGAGAAGCGGGGGTGAGGAGGTTGGAGGGGGTGATGGGAAGCTGGGGAGTGAGGAGTGAGGAGTGAGGAGGTGGGGTGAGAATGGGATGGGAGAAGCGGGGGAGTGAGGAGGTGGGGTGGGGGGACGAGACTCCTGCCTACCCTTCCTTCCCCACATCTCTAAACTCTCGAGTCTTTAATTTCTTGCATTTTAGCCAATTAGTCAAGCAGACGTAATCGGGTCTGAGGGATGGCGACCACGGCCCCCCTCCCCCCTCCATAGGTTTTGAGGTTGTCCTTGCGGATTGTTTCAGAGTTTGCGTCAAGTGGTAGTGTCTCCTCCTTCAGTCAAGTGGTAGTGTCTCCTCCTTCAGTCAAGTGGTAGTGTCTCCTCCTCCAGTCAAGTGGTAGTATCTCCTCCTTCAGTCAAGTGGCAGTGTCTTCTCCTTCAGTCAATGGTAGAGTGTCCTCCTTCAGTCATGTGGTAGTGTCTCCTCCTTCAGTCATGTGGTAGTGTCTCCTCCTTCAGTCAAGTGGTAGTGTCTCCTCCTTCAGTCATGTGGTAGTGTGTCCTCCTTCAGTCATGTGGTAGTGTGTCCTCCTTCAGTCAAGTGGTAGTGTCTCCTCCTTCAGTCAAGTGGTAGTGTCTTCACGAGAGGGAGGGGTGAGGTGAGGCCGGGAGGTGCTCAGTGACGTAAGACCTGATCAACACACACCATCATGATGGTTTTTACGTACCCCCCCCCCTTCCATCACCCCTCCTCCCGTCCCTGTCACCCCTTCTCCTGCCTTTCAACACCCCTCCTATCGCCTCTGTCACCCCTCTATCACCCCTCCTCCCGCCCCTATCACCCTTCCTTCACCCCTCCTCCCGCCTCTGTCACCCCTCCTCCCGCCTCTGTCACCCCTCCTCCCGCTCCTCGACTCCTGCACCTTCAGGAGTGTTAAATAATTTGGTGGAGCCGTGGCGGCCACCTCCTTGACATGACCATTACTGTGTTATTGGTCCGTGCTGTTTCTGCTGCTGCTCCTTATGCCTCTATTACTGCTGCTGTTACTGCTGTCACTACTGTTATTACTGTTGGTGCTGTTACTACTGTTACTGCTATTACTGCTGTTGTTGCTGTTATTGGTGTTGCTGCTGTTACTGGTGCTGTCTTTACTGCTGTTACTGTTACTGTTGTTTTTCTGAATACGTCAAGGAAAGGTTTGATATCCCCAGGTGTTTGGCGGTCACATAAAACCACCTGTCGTCTGTCTGTTTGTCTGTCTGGTATGAACCACCTTACATACAGCATTTTCTCTGATGTAGTGTATGTGAGTGTGAGGGTGTGTAAGGGAGTATGAGGGTGGGTATGAGGAGTGTGAGGGTGGGGGTGAGTGAGGTGGGGGGAGGAGGATGAAGAAGGAGGAGGAGGAAGTAGAGGTGCAGAGAATAAAAGAGGAGGAAGAGGAAGAAAAGGAGGGGAGGAGCAGTAGAGGTGGAGGAAGTAGAGATGGACGAGAATAAAGGAGGAGGAGGAGGAGGAGAAGGAGGAGGAGGAGGAGGAGGAGGAGGGAGGGAGGAGGAGGTGGAGGTGGAGGAGGAGGAGGAGGAGGAGGAGGAGGTGGTGTGTGTGTGGGGCCTCGGAACGCTTCATCTCCACCTGTCCTAAAAAATAAAGACATTTGGAATACCTGCCACAGATCTATCCTGCCAGGTAGGGAGGTCGGGGTTCTTGTGCTCTTCCTCGCCCTCCTAGTCCATGTCCTCTCCCTCCTCCATGTCCTCCCCCTCCTCCTCTTCCTCCTACTTGTTCCACCTTTTCTTGAACCAGCCCCCCCACGAACTCCCCCCTTTTCCCCTTCTCCTACATTCATGGATCCTCCTCCCTCCCCCCTTTCCCTTATTGAACCCACTTTTCCTTCCTCCTCCTCCCCTTCCTACGTCTCCATCTCCTCCTCGTCCACCTCTTCCTCCTCCTCCTCGTCCTCCTTCTGAGCTCAAAGACTCTGTAAATTCGTTAAGCTTTGTCGGTATTCACTCTCCTCTCTCTTTCTCTCTCTCAACCTTCATTCCTTCACCTCCTCTTTCATTCCTCTATATCAATTCTCCTTCCTCTCACCATTCGTTTTCTTCTTCATCATCATCTTCCTAAGACCATTCAGCTCCTCCTCCTCCTCCTCCTCCTCCTCCTCCTCCTGAAATTTTAGACACACTCAATTCCTGTGTGAAGAGTTGCTTGTTCGATCCCCGGGGTTCTCTTGGTCGACCCAGCTGTGACTTGGTTCGTGTACCTAACTATACAATTTGGGGGAAGTGAAGAAGGTCGGGTGCAGTGCCGACCCCTCGTGGACTTAGAGTGAGCTTTATATCCACACTATACTAAACGGTGTGTTGTCAAGGCCTATGGAACTTATGTTGAATGTCTTCTTAGGTATTACGTCAGATACTGCAGGTACTTTATTTACATTCTTCTCTCTTCCTCTTTTTTCTTCTTGCTCCTCTTCTATCTTTGTCTCCTCCTCCTCCATCTCCTGCTCCTCCTCTTCCCCATCCTATTTCCTTTTTCATCTTGACGTATTTCCTCCTTCAGTCCGTTTCGTTTACCCTTTCTTCCTTGCTTCCTTATCCTCATTTTTCTGTATTTTCTTTCATCTTTCCTATACTTAATTTTACTCTCATTCTCCTTTCTTCCTCCCTCCTCCATTTTTCGTTTTCTCTCTCCCTCCTTCCCTCCTATACCCTGCGGTAGAAAGATAGGACGGAAAGAGAGAGAGAGAAGGAGAGTGGAAAAGAGCGGGAGGGGGTGGGAGGGGGAGAGGGAGATGAAGGGAGGGAAAGAGGGGGTGGGAAGGAATTGGGAGATGGAAGGAGGGAAGGAAGGACGGAGAAACGGAAGGGGAGGGACACAAAGGGAGGAAGAGAAAGGAGAAGGAAAAAAGGAAGGAGGAGGGAAGTGAGGGAAGGAATGAAGGATGACGGAAAGGAGGGAGGGAGGGAGTGAGGGACGGAGGAAGGGAGGGAGGGAGAGAGGGAGGGAGGGAGGGAGGGAGAGAGGAAGGGAGGAAGAGAGAGAGGGAGGGAGTGAGGGAAGGAGGGAGTGAGGGAAGGAGGGAGGGAGGGAGGGAGGATCAACTACCAATATCGCCTCCAGACGTCCTGTGATCTGTGTCTATCGACGATTGATAAAACTGAGGGAACCACGATCATTGTGTGTCTCTTTGTCTGTCTGTATGAATATGTACATCTGTCTGTCTGTCTGTCTGTGCACTTGTGTATGTCTGTAATTGTCTCTATCTCTCTACTATGTATGTGTGTATCTTTCTATGTCTGTCTCTGTACGTGTTCGTTTGTTCATCTCAAAAACAAAAAAATAACAGAATTTCTCGTATGCCTAGACACACGCCAGAAC